AAGTTATGCCTCCCCTAATGCCAAGTAGTGGGACATTAGGGAATTCCCCGCAGCTATCAATAATAGAAATATCTCCCATAGATCGGGTATACTAGAGAATATCCATGTAAGAAAGTGACATTATCCTTTGCGACCAACCTAAACCTTCTTCATTCTTCAGTATTGATTTAGGGAGGTGAGAGATAAACCACCTTATCAGCAATGGCACACAACACATAAGAATCCCTCTTTTCTTTGTGGTACGAGTATGTAGGGTATGCAAGAGGTCTCAGAGTAAAGTGGGCACATGGTTGCGAGAGAGGAAGACCTTGATAGCATTCACATCTATGAGTAAGTCTGGATTAGGGAACAATACTAACCCATAGATTAGAAGGGCTAAGAACTCCTTAAAATCCTGGAAGTCCAAATCATCCCAAAACAGCTGAGCCTTCTCTATTAGTAACTTGGCTAGAAAACCCTTAACTTCACTTATTATTTCCCAGTTGGATACAATGTCAGACCGTTTCAGATGCAAAGTTGCTGCAATGAACTCTGGCTTTGGAGCTTCTTCCAAACCGGTGAAAGGAAACTGATCCATAATAGGTATGCCCAGTAACTGATAGAATTCTTCCATGGTGGGTACCAGCTGATAGTCCGGAAAGGTGAAGCAGTGGTGCTTAGGGTCAAAGAACTGAAATAATACACTCATCATCTTCTCATCAAAGCCCGAGGTAACTAGGTTGAGAAGTCGACCAAATGTTTTAGTGAAATAAGAAGTTTCCGGAACCCTTGAATTCTCACAAAGCTGATTCGGATAGTGTTTCTACGAGCGGGAGCCATGATCTGCAAAACAGAACAAAGATAAATTCCCTTCGTCCTTGAAATGGTTAGTGAAATGAAGAATGAATGTTATGATGTTTATGATGTCATTATTATGCTTAAATCGCAGATAAACACAAGCAAATCACACAATAGACCTTAGGTTCAAAGGCTTGCATGAGGTTTAAGGTAAGTACCCTCTTGAATGTTCAGATGGCTCAACCTGTCTTAGAAATAGTAATCGGGTTCTAAGGAATCTCAATATCACTAATCTTTATTTATTGGTATTATTTCAGCTCAGTAATCTTTTCTTGCGGCCGAAACATCCCAAAAGTCCAATCTCAATGAGTTTAGTATCGAGTATCAACCGATTCGCAGCTTTACACCGAGGTCGGCTATCTCACTACTTTCGAATGGCTGAGTTTGTTCAACTAAGGTTCTAAGGTTCGTTAGTGCTTCACGACACCACGCGGTGGCCCCGTATTCTCCTCGATTCAACACAAGGGATACTGGTACCAACCAAAGTGTCACACCAACACAGCTATCGCTTCAACCATATTGGTCTACACCGTACAGTCTCCATGATCTATTGATGTTTACCTAAAAAGATGCCCCAGATCCGGGTATAGGATCTATAGTATCTCAATCAAACCTTTAATAGTAAAGCAATCAAAACAAACAAAGAAAGCAATTTAGAAATGAACTAGACCCTAAGGTAAACCCCACTTTTTTTAAAATTTCCCCAGTAGAGTCGCCACTTCTGTGATACAGTGGCAGAACCGACTGTTATACTGGTTTTGCATTTTGTATTCGTAAATTTCGCGGTAAGCAAGAGTCGCCACCGGCTTTTCTTTTATCCAATAAAGGAAAGGTGAAAAGAACAGAAAAAGGCCTTTTTCGAGAGTTTCTGAGTAAGGGGGTAGATTATAGAAAGGGAAGGTGTTAGTACCCTTTCCATCTGTGGTTTTCCACGGGCTCTTAGGTACTTGCTCATTTTTGAAAGTTGCTTTCGTGTTTGTGTGTTTTGAAAAGCTTGTTTGCTTTATGATAACTCTTGTATCAGTCCTCAAGAGTGTTGATAAAGCATTTTGAAAATGTTTTTGAAAGTGTGAAGTGTGAAAAAGTTGTTTTTAAGCAAGTACCTAACAATTATCTACCTACTCGAAAAAGGTGTTCTTTTCCTCCTTTCCTTTAGATAGTGATATCCTATTATTAGTGAGTAGGTAGCCTTATCGTTTGGATGTTGAGGGACTATCGAAGGGGCGTTTACGGTTACTAAGGCAACTGGGCAAGAACTTTTAGTAATTTTCCTAAAGTTCTAATATCACTTTTTAACTGAGGCGGCGTCCAAAGGGTCATCGAGGGACTTATGATCTTTTGAACTAAAGGACAACCACTAAAAATTCTCACGTTTCGAGAATTGTGAATGTTTCCGAAGGCAACAGAAGTGGGGAGTACCTTAAAGGTGAGTATGTGCAAGTGTGTTATATTTCAGTTATTTATCTTTAAACATTAGTGTGTTCTACCGTTTGTTTTCAGATCTTGTCATACAATCCCACTTACTAAGAGTAATATTGTGCAGAAAATATAAAGTGCGAAAAGTAAATCCTACGTTATTACAAAGCTTCAGGGAGAGGGATATTTACATGTCATAAAATTTGGGGGAAGGAAAATAAAGAAAGCAGTAAAGAGTCCTACTTAATCTATTACATCTAGTAGGCAATTACATTAGTATAAATAAATGCGAAAATAAATAACGCGCACGAAATAAAAGGACGTCTAAAATCCTAAGAATAATTTTTTTTGTTTTTGATTTTTTTGGAAAAAACAACTAAATTAATTATCCTGAAATTTATTTAGATAAATAAAATTTAATTAAGAAAATTATCTAAGTTTTTTGTTGTTTTTAAGGAAATTAAACCTAAACTCTAACTTGTTTTAATTTTTTTTTGAAGAAAAGTTAAAGTTAATTAATTAATTCAGAAATTATTTATTTAATTAAAAAAAACTAATCCTAAGTTTTTATGATTTTTTTATATCAAGAAAAAATGAAAATGAAAATAAATAAATAAAATAAATAAAAGGATTAGAACATGGGCCTAGGTGTTAATCAACAATTAGGGGGTGCTGATGATATGGAAAATGTTAGGCCCAAAAAATGGCAAGCCCAGAGTCAACATGGGATTCAGCGCTGCTGACCTCCAGAGGATGCACCATGGATTTGCATGTTGAAGCGTTTAGATCTGGATCAACTATGATCTGATGGTGTATGATGAGCGCTTGGCCATTATACGTATCAAATCTGCATATAACATGTTAGAAAGAAATTGAAAATGCCTGACCTGGGATTCGAACCCAGGTCCTCCATCCAGTGCACGCCTTCTTTTACCATCTGAGCTAACTGTTCAATCTGGATAAAGGAAAACTAACATTTGAATCCTGTAAGTTTTGTTAGTTTCAGGGTCAAACAAAAAGTGAAACTCTGGACTACTTCGATTTGCAAATGTCTATGCCACGAGTTTCGATTTGTTAAACCATTTAAAAATAACAAGAATAATATGAAAATGCAATCCACACGAGTTTACATTGTAGATTGAATAAGATTAAAAGCTTTTACCCACTGAAGATACTTAGATTTGGAATCCTGAACGTGGGATGGCTGGTGCAACTTTTTGGGCTTTCTTGGAGGCAGGATGCGTTTTTTGTGAGGCAGTATATGTGTGTCCTTTTTCTCTGAGATTATGAGGTTTATATAGGCAAGGGATTTTAGGTCAACATTTGTGTATCAAATCTTGGTCCATTATGATGAAGATATTTGATTTGATTTCTTCATAAAAACTTGCTATATTTGATTCAATTAGGTGTCAATCTATTTTCATGCGTTACTGCCAGCCTGTTATGAGTTGTTTGGGCCTCCAATATGATGGAAATTGAAAGCTGACATGCCCCTGCAGACCCATTTCCCTTCTAATTTGTTCTCTTCGAAGGCTCTAAGCTCCAATTCGAATTACTCAGAGCTTTCCTCATCAGAGCATTATTTCCTTCGAAGGCTCTGAATTCTAATTCAAATTGCACAATCTTCATTACCATGGCTCATTCGGTTGAGCCACCCTCTGCTTCGATCGCTTGATTTGAAGAAAATCACCCTAGTTGAATCAGCTCTTGTGGAGTTAAGAACAAACAAGGAAATAATCTGGCCCTTAACTCAGGAATTGAAGCCACGACCAAAATTGAATTCTTGCCATATTTGCAAGGAAAACATGCCATTTTGAACTTTGAGTGAACCTGGACAGGTTATGATAGGTGTTCTGTTTGAATTTGGCTCAAGGCTTTCATCATGGTTCCTTTTATTAAGTCTCAAGCTTTGCTCTCTTAGATGGATTTGAACTTGACCAATTGAAGCATTATCTTACTGACTGGTCGAAGTGTTGTTCTGCTCTCTTCGATGGCTTTGAGTCCTGATTTGGATTGCTCATATTCTCAGCATCAGAGTTTCTTCGATCAACCACCAAGCATTATTCTTCTTGATGGATCTGGGTTCCAATTCTAATTTCTCAAGGCTCTCCTCACCAGTGCTTCTTCATTTGAGCCACAGTCTACATGAATTCGAAAGGCTCAGAGTTTTCCTTACTAGAACATTTTAGATTAGGACACCTCTGCACTGATATGCCATTCGAAGGATACTTAGTTGTGATGTTCCAATCGAAGGAAACTCTGATATTCTAATTGAAGGACACTCTGATGTTCCAATTGAAGGAAGCTCTGATGTTCCAATTGAAAGAAGCTCTGATGTTTCAATTGAAGGAAACTTTGATGTTTCAATCGAAAGAAGCTCTGATGTTCCAATCGAAGGTCATTTTGTTCATCTTCAAATTTTACTTTCCTCAAGCAAATGTTTGCAACCACCCATGTAAGAGAAGATCTTGAAAGAAAATGAGAGGAAAAATTTTGGGGTACAACACACATGTTCGCAAAAGCCCGAAAAAATAAGACAGAAAGAATAGACATATTAGAGGATGCATGGTTAAAACCTTGATCCATCCCGCAAAAAATAAAAATAAAACAGACATGTCCGATGGGTCGGAACCGTTTTACCACCTCTATATTTAACAACCTCTTACAAAAGATGAATTTTAATTAAAATTTTCAACTTAGGATTAACATTACAATCCAAGAAAAAGAAATTTTATTTTAACTTACTAATGAAAAATATAAGAAATGATGTGGTCGACAATAAGATTCATGGTATCAAAGTGGCACATAAGTCTCCTATCATTTCTCATCTTTTCTTTGCAGGCGACAGTCTTCTTTTTGCTAGAGCTAGTGAGGGGGAAGGTTGCCGAATTCACCATATTCTCAAGCTTTATCAAGATGCCTCAGGTCGGGTGGTGAATGCCTACAAATATGGGGTTTCCTTTAGTGGTAATGTGGGGGAGGCTACTACGGGTAGAATCAAGGCCAAGTTGGGTTTTCGTGGGGTAAATAATCATTCACGTTATTTGGGGCTTCCGATTGTTTTTGGAAGGTCTAAGAAGGAAGTGTTCAAACTTGTTGTTGAGAGGGTTTGGAAGAAGGTTAAGGGGTGGAAGGAGAATTTTCTTTCTAAGGCTGGTAAAGAAGTTTTGATCAAAGCAGTTGCGCAAGCAATCCCAGCGTATATCATGAGTTACTACCGAATCTCGAAGAGTTCTTGTAAAGAAATCGAATATATGATCATTAAGTTTTGGTGGGGATCTAAATAAAGAGAGTGGAAGATTCATTGGTTGAAGTGGGAGAAATTGGCTCGTTCAAAAGGAGATGGAGGTATTGGTTTTAGGGGCATTCTTGATTTCAACACTAGTCTATTGGGTAAGCAATTCTGGCGGCTGTTGCAGGAAGATGGTTCCCTAATGGAGAGATTTTTTCATAGGGCGATACTACCCTCGATGTTCCATTACTCATGCTCAGTGCGGCTTCAATACTAGCTTTGCTTGGCGTAGCATTTTGAGTTCTAAAGATGTTGTTCTGAATGGCTCTAGATGGCGAATTGGAAATGGAGAAAAGGTTAGTATAAGGGGTTATTGTTGGATTCCAACTCTTCCGGGTTTCCAAATATCGGTTCCGGCTAGGGTCCTTACCCCTATCACAAAGGTAGGCCTCATTGATTTTGATCTGGCTTGTTGGAAAATGGACACCCTTAGAGAAAACTTTGATGTTATTGATGTTAACCATATAAACAACATCCCCCTTTCTTTTGACCTTCCCGAGGATAAATTAATTTAGCACCACAAAATTGACATCAACTATTCGATAAATAATCTATCATTAGCTAGGGGAACAAAGGCGCAAGTTTAATCCAGGGCCATCCTTCAAGGGTAAGTCAAAAATCTGGAATCAGCTTTGGAAATTAAAGGTGAACCCAAGAGTTAAGAATTTTATATGGAGACTCTTTAAAGATATTCTGCTAATGAAAATTAATCTCCTCATGAAAGGTACGTTGAGTGATGGCTTATGCCCTTTGTGCAATTCTGATTTGGGAAGTAACGTGCATCTTTTTCTTCGTTGTGATTTTATCATAAGGGTTTTTTTCTCGAGTCCGTTGGGAATTCGTGTTCCCACTTCTAGTGGTATTGAGGACTGGTTTTGCAACATTTCCCAAGGAAAGACACTAAATTAGGGCAAGATATAGCGGTTTGTTTCTGGAAAATATGGTTGTTAAGGAATTGTGTTGTTTTCAAGGCTATTAAAGCAGACTCAAGCACGGTTACTGCTGAAATCTGGAATTCAATTATTGAGGAAACTGGGGGCTTCCTTTATTCAGATATGGGGAATAGCATAGTCACACTAAAGATGGATAATTAGTTGGGTTGGACTATTCAAACAGATGTTGGTTGCTTCGAGGAAGGAATTATCTCGCTCAATTTCATAATAAAGGATCATTATTCTAATATTTGCTTGGCTTCTATTAGGAGACTCGATAGCATGACGAATGCTTCTTCTGCGGAGATGTTGGCTATTCGCTGGTCACTGTAGGTTGCAAAAGATTTGGGTCTAGAGAGTTTTGTTGTGCAATAAGATGCGCTTGTGGTGGTGGATTGTATCAATAGAATTGTGTTCAATGTTGATTTAGAACCAACTGCTAGTGATTGTAGATCTCTTATTTCTTGTTTTTGTAATGTTTCTGTCATGTTTATTAGTAGGGATCTGAATACTGATGCTCACAATTTGGTTGGTATTGGTAAGTCCTTAGGTTCTAGAACCTGGACGGTCCATATACCAAGTTCTGGCATTGTAATTTGTAATTATGTAGTTTCTTCTTCTTTATGAAACAAGTTTGCCATAAAAAAAGTCACATTTGGATACTTTATGAACCTTCTCCATTCATCTTATTGAAAACTCTTTGACCATGAATTGAAGAAAATTTGATAGTTTTTGAAGGATAATAGATTAAATATGATCAATTGTTTTTTCTAAAGCCAAATAAATCAATTAAATATATAAAAGAAACAGGCACAAAAAGATGATCAAGATAGAAGTGTTCAGAGTATCAATTATGGGTTCAATTGGTGATGAAGAAGAAAACATCGTGAATTGGTTTTCTCCCATAAGTGAGGAATTTAGGAAATTTTTCACCTCATAGTTGTTAGTGCTTAATTGTTAATTTAGCCAAAATTTGGGAACTTCTGAAATAAAAACTCTACATGCATTTCTCACAATCGTACTGATATGTGGGAATCTAATGGGCATGGAAAAATAAAAACTCTACATGGATCTCTCATCTACTGTCTTTCTCAGGTTACACCCTGATCTGACCTGATCAGAAATGGACCGTCACGGCTGGCTCCGAGCTGAAAGCTTTTTGAACGAGGTGGGGGGTACCTGCAAGGCACTCCGATGCTGAAGTAAGTAGAAGCACGAGCAGACAATAATAAGTGTATGGGTATAATGATGAATATCTGACCCTCTGGAAACAGAGGGTATTTATAGCCCCCAGCGCTAGGCCAAGGTTCCTTCATTGGACCGGGCAGGTTTGGCCCAATGGAGGAACTGCCAGGTTCTACGTGCGTAGTGGGGACCCACACGTGGTCCCCTTCCTGGATGTTCTGCGTGAAGTGCGGGCGGACAGAGACGCGGTCTTTTCGGGGTCTCGTTGGGAGTGCAGTGGACTGAGTCTACCCTAGTTGGGGGTGCTCGAGGTGATGTCGAGCTGGACAGTAGGATGTCGAGCTGGAGATGTAGATGTCGAGCACGTGACCTCAGGGAGTACGTAGGGAACGACTGTGACCCCTTGGTCAGCGTGGTCCTCAGCAAGTCCATTTGGATTGGGCCTTGGCAATGCTGTTGGGCCTGTCGGGCCCAGTCCAGAACAGGAGCCCCCCAAGTCGTGGTTCCTTTGTTAGGAGCCATGGCTTGATCTCAGGTCGTTTCCGCTTCGGGGTCTCGCGCCCGGGTCGGAGATGCAGGTCCTCGAGGGCCTCTCCGCGTCGTGCTCGGAGATAAATCTTTCGCGGTGGATGCTCGGAGGATCCTTGCTGGCGCGTGTCTGTCGAGCACACGAGGTATCTTTTGGGAACTGTGCCGCCACCCTATGAAGATAGGGTCATCATTGCGTTGGGAGCAGTGTGTCGAGGATAGAAACCCCGTGGTTGCCCGAGGTGACGTTTGGTATTCCACGTCATCACTATAAATAGGAACCTTGGGCCCCATAACACGTTTCTACTCTTTGCGCTCCCACTGCTGTTGTTCTTCCAGATTTTTCATAGCTGCGATCTTCTGTTTACAGATTCTTTTCCTCCGTAGCCGAATCCTCTTTTTGATTCAAGTAAGTGACTTATCTTCTTGATTTTCCTGTTGTAATGCATGATTTTCAGCGTTTGTAGACGTTTTAGGGACTGTGCGCGTGGGACTAGCCCGATAAACTCATGCTTAGCTCAACATATTCATGCTTAGGACCGGCAAACACATGCTCTTGGCCGGTAGATTCATAGTTTTAGGTAATAATCAGCAGCGCTGCCCGGGGTCTTCATGATCCAGGGCGCCTGATTCATGATCGCGTTCGGTATGTTCATGGTCCTGGCCGTAGGTCTCATGATGTTGCTCGCCATGTTCATACCTTGGATCGACATGTTGGAGAGTGGCCGCGTAGTCGGTTTGGAGAGTGGCTCGCCATGTTCATACCTTGTGGTCGTGCTTGGGACGACGTGGTTAGTCGTACACTACACTCGGTCTGCTAAGTCGAGCGTATGGTTTCATGCCCAATTGACTGGTTTCCCGTGCTCTGCAGGTAACCATGGCGGACGAGCCGTGCTCCTCTGGACGCCACGAACATGAGGAACAAAGTGCCGATGAGGCGGTGAGCTTGATTGATACTGTCGACGACCCTTTGCTGGATTGGGTGGGCGCCGAGCCCTGAGGAATCGCGTCGATATATAGCCGGCGTGACCGAAATCCATATGCTGTCCTCGAAGCGGGTCAGGGCCAGCCTGATTTCCAAAAGAATTTCGTTGTCATGCGTCCGACCTCCCGTGCCCGGATCTGCTCGATGTACCCAGAGTATAGCTTCCCGATGTACGAGATCGCGTTCAAAGATCTTGGGCTGCAGCTGCCCTTCAGTGACTTTCAGACCGGGGTCTTCACCCATCTGGAGTTGGCCCCGTCGCAGCTACACCCGAACTCACTCGCCTTTATCCGGGCGTTTGAGCTGACATGTCGCTTTCTGAGGATCGGGGCGACCATACCGCTCTTCTTTAGAATTTTTCATCTACAGCGCCAGTCCCGAGGAGGGAAACACAGCTGGGTCTCCTTAAAACAGTCGAGGAGACATTTCAAAATGTACATGGACTCCGTGAGGGGTTTTAAAGACAAGTGGTATGTCGTGCGGCCAGTTACCACATCTGCTTTAGGATCCTTGTACGAGGAGGAGGCGCCCATAAGCGATGATGACGGGGAGGCGGTCTTAGGAAACGATGGGTATCCCGTGATGGCCCGTACAGCCAAGTTCCCTGTGCATTGGATGTTCAGGCACTACGAGCACGGGACTGGATACTACCATACTGCTGCCGGGGACATGTGTTCGGAGGACGAGGAGGCGTACGCCACTCTTTGTCGGTTCGTTGACAGCTTCCACCCCGCCCGGTGGGCCACGAGGGAAGGGGAAGATGTCTTGGATGCAGAGGGTTATCCGACATTTGAGTCCCGGCCGATTGATACTAAGGCACTCGTGGAGTGTCAGACGTTCAGGCAGGATGCTCGTCTGCTAGGTCGTTTATTGCTTGAATCTCTTTGCTCGTCATTTATTTATGAACTTGCTCGACACTAACCCGTCTTTTATTTTGTGCAGGCTCGATGGCCGGTCGAAGGGAAAGACTTTTGAAGCTGTCTTGCGACCAGAAGCGCGGCAGGAGGGTCGTGAAGGCTCCCCAGGCGACGAGGATGGGCCCGCCACATAGTCCGGGCGCTCCTCAGGTGGTGAGGGTGGATTCGTCGCCCAGCTCGGGGGCCGCGTCAGACGGGATCATAGAGGTTCAAGAGGTCGATCCTAATGCCGACTTGATACAAAGAAAGAGGACCCGGGTGGAAAGCGGTCCGGCTGTCAGCGAGGACACCAGCGCCGTCAGGTCTTTCGGGTTTCCCCCTTGTTTCAAAGAGGAGGGTTTCTTCGAGAGATTCCCTCTGTCAGTGGTTGCCGACGAGGCTGAGACTATCAAAAGGATGAGTAAGGAGGATCGGAAGAGGAATCTGGCCGCCAGCATGGACGGGCTGG